CATCCCTCACCCTTGCAAGATGTCTGTGGTCCCACCACCGACATCTTGCAGGGGTGAAGGATGTGCGTGCATGAACCCCGACCGAGGCCCCAGCGTGCATGGATAGAGACATCCATCACCCCCGCAAGATGTCTGTGGTCCCACCACTGGCATCTTGCGGGGGTGAGGGATGTCCTTAACCCGTGCCGCCATGTCTTCATGGACTTCGTCGTGATCACTCTTCGGCTGTGGCCGCAGCCGCAGCCTCAGGGGAGGGGGGCAGGGCGACCACAATAATCATAGTATTATACATAATCACCTGCCGACGGCCGCCGCGGCTCTTCGAAGACAAGCCGCTTGCATGCATGCCTAGAGTGTTTGCTCACCACATGCAATCAGAGTCAGCTGCTTTGACTTGCGAGTGTTGCCACTGGAGTGTTTGCCGAGGACCACATGCGATGACAGTCAAGCGGCTTGCCTTCACGAAGAGCCGCGGCGGCCGTCGGCAGGTGTTCAAAACCTCAGTGGAACTGACTGAAACCTGGGAGCCTAAAGTGCCTGGGAGCCTAAAGTGCCTGGGATACTGCATGCCTAGAGTGTTTGCTCACCACATGCAATCACAGTCAGCTGCTTTGACTTGCGAGTGTTGCCACTGGAGTGTTTGCCGAGCACCACATGCAATGACAGTCAGTTGCTTTCACTTTAGGCTCCCAGGCACTTTCGGCTCCCAGGCACTTTAGGCTCCCAGGTTTCAGTCAGTTCCACTGAGGTTTTGAACACCTGCCGACGGCCGCCGCGGCTCTGCAAAGGCAATCCGCGAGTGTTGCAGGCGCCCGTGGAGTGTTGCCCCTGGAGTGTTTGCCGAACACCAAATGCAATGACAGTCAGCTGCTTTGACTTGCGAGTGTTGCCACTGGAGTGTTTGCCGAGCACCACATGCAATGACAGTCAGCTGCTTTGACTTGAAATTCCTGTCACGGTGGCTCCCAGGCACTTTAGGCTCCCAGGCACTTTAGGCTCCCAGATTTCAGTCAGTTCCACTGAGGTTTTGAACACCTGCCGACGGCCGCCGCGGCTCTTCGTGAAGGCAAGCCGCTTGCATGCATGCCTAGAGTGTTTGCTCACCACATGCAATCACAGTCAGCTGCTTTGACTTGCGAGTGTTGCCACTGGAGTGTTTGCCGAGCACCACATGCAATGACAGTCAGCTGCTTTCACTTTGAAGGCTCCCAGGCACTTTAGGCTCCCAGGCACTTTAGGCTCCCAGGTTTCAGTCAGTTCCACTGAGGTTTGAACACCTGCCGACGGCCGCCGCGGCTCTTCGAAGACAAGCCGCTTGCATGCATGCCTAGAGTGTTTGCTCACCACATGCAATCACAGTCAGCTGCTTTGACTTGCGAGTGTTGCCACTGGAGTGTTTGCCGAGCACCACATGCAATGACAGTCAGCTGCTTTCACTTTAGTCTCCCAGGCACTTTAGGCTCCCAGGTTTCAGTCAGTTCCACTGAGGTTTGAACACCTGCCGACGGCCGCCGCGGCTCTTCGAAGACAAGCCGCTTGCATGCATGCCTAGAGTGTTTAATCACCACATGTAATCACAGTCAGCTGCTTTGACTTGCGAGTGTTGCCACTGGAGTGTTTGTCGAGCACCGCATGCAATGACAGTCAGCTGCTTTCACTTTAGGCTCCCAGGCACTTTAGGCTCCCAGGTTTCAGTCAGTTCCACTGAGGTTTGAACACCTGCCGACGGCCGCCGCGGCTCTTCGAAGACAAGCCGCTTGCATGCATGCCTAGAGTGTTTGCTCACCACATGCAATCACAGTCAGCTGCTTTGACTTGCGAGTGTTGCCACTGGAGTGTTTGCCGAGCACCACATGCAATGACAGTCAGTTGCTTTCACTTTCGGCTCCCAGGCACTTTAGGCTCCCAGGCACTTTAGGCTCCCAGGTTTAAGTCAGTTCCGCTGAGGTTTTGAACACCTGCCGACGGCCGCCGCGGCTTTGCAAAGGCAATCCGCGAGTGTTGCACGCACCCGTGGAGTGTTGCCCCTGGAGTGTTTGCCGAGCACCAAATGCAATGACAGTCAGCTGCTTTGACTTGCGAGTGTTGCCACTGGAGCGTTTGCCGAGCACCACATGCAATGACAGTCAGCTGCTTTGACTTGAAATTCCTGTCACGGTGGCTCCCAGGCACTTTAGGCTCCCAGATTTCAGTCAGTTCCACTGAGGTTTTGAACACCTGCCGACGGCCGCCGCGGCTCTTCGTGAAGGCAAGCCGCTTGCATGCATGCCTAGAGTGTTTGCTCACCACATGCAATCACAGTCAGCTGCTTTGACTTGCGAGTGTTGCCACTGGAGTGTTTGCCGAGCACCACATGCAATGACAGTCAGCTGCTTTTACTTTAAAGGCTCCCAGGCACTTTAGGCTCCCAGGCACTTTAGGCTCCCAGGTTTCAGTCAGTTCCACTGAGGTTTGAACACCTGCCGACGGCCGCCGCGGCTCTTCGAAGACAAGCCGCTTGCATGCATGCCTAGAGTGTTTGCTCACCACATGCAATCACAGTCAGCTGCTTTGACTTGCGAGTGTTGCCACTGGAGTGTTTGCCGAGCACCACATGCAATGACAGTCAGCTGCTTTCACTTTAAAGGCTCCCAGGCACTTTAGGCTCCCAGGTTTCAGTCAGTTCCACTGAGGTTTGAACACCTGCCGACGGCTGCCGCGGCTCTTCGAAGACAAGCCGCTTGCATGCATGCCTAGAGTGTTTGCTCACCACATGCAATCACAGTCAGCTGCTTTGACTCGCGAGTGTTGCCACTGGAGTGTTTGTCGAGCACCGCATGCAATGACAGTCAGCTGCTTTCACTTTAGGCTCCCAGGCACTTTAGGCTCCCAGGTTTCAGTCAGTTCCACTGAGGTTTGAACACCTGCCGACGGCCGCCGCGGCTCTTCGAAGACAAGCCGCTGCATGCATGCCTAGAGTGTTTGCTCACCACATGCAATCACAGTCAGCTGCTTTGACTTGCGAGTGTTGCCACTGGAGTGTTTGCCGAGGACCACATGCAATGACAGTCAGCTGCTTTCACTCTAATAATATTAGTATCCCAGGCACTTTAGGCTCCCAGGCACTTTAGGCTCCCAGGTTTCAGTCAGTTCCACTGAGGTGTTGAACACCTGCCGACGGCCGCCGCGGCTCTTCGAAGACGAGCCGCTTGCATGCATGCCTAGTAGAGTGTTTGCTCACCACATGCAATCACAGTCAGCTGCTTTGACTTGCGAGTGTTGCCACTGGAGTGTTTGCCGAGCACCACATGCAATGACAGTCAGCTGCTTTCACTTTAAAGGCTCCCAGGCACTCTAGGCTCCCAGGCACTTTAGGCTCCCAGGTTTCAGTCAGTTCCACTGAGGTTTTGAACACCTGCCGACGGCCGCCGTGGCTCTGCAAAGGCAATCCGCGAGTGTTGCACGCACCCGTGGAGTGTTGCCCCTGGAGTGTTTGCCGAGCACCAAATGCAATGACAGTCAGCTGCTTTGACTTGCGAGTGTTGCCACTGGAGTGTTTGCCGAGCACCACATGCAATGACAGTCAGCTGCTTTGACTTGAAATTCCTGTCACGGTGGCTCCCAGGCACTTTAGGCTCCCAGGCACTTTAGGCTCCCAGATTTCAGTCAGTTCCACTGAGGTTTTGAACACCTGCCGACGGCCGCCGCGGCTCTTCGTGAAGGCAAGCCGCCAGTTTGCACCACATGCAATCACAGTCAGCTGCTTTGACTTGCGAGTGTTGCCACTGGAGTGTTTGCCGTGCACCACATGCAATCACAGTCAGCTGCTTTCACTTGCGATTCCTGTCACGGTGGCTCCCAGGTTCTTGAGGCTCCCAGGTTTCAGGCTCCTGAAGCAGGAGTCAGACCAGTTCCTGGGTTAGCATATGTCAAGCAGCGCGGACAGTGACATCATGGCTGCATTGAAGCTCCGAGCGAAGGCGGTCGAGTCCACGGACACCGCCGCAGCTGCGGCTGCACAGCCGTCCGAGACGGTGGATTCGGAGGGCTTCACAGTGGTCTCAGATCCCGCCACAAAGGAGGACCAGGAGGAACAGCAGCAGCCTGGGTCGGGATCGACTTCGTTGGCCAAGGCCAGCGACGATGCCACTTCTTCGGATGTCGGCGAGAACATCCCACCAGTGCTTCAGTCCATGGTCAAAGGGGCGATGCTGCAGTACAAGACTAAGGATCTCCAGTCCTACTATATGCACATTGGCTTCATTGAACGACTAGACTTGTATTAAGACTTTGGGAGCCGGTAGTAAATTCAAATTAAATTTAAATATTTATATGATAAACATAAAAGATCCTCCAGGCACCTGAAGCAAGCGCCGGAGCTGCTGCAAGACCGTTACGACACGGCTGAGCAGTTCACGTGGGCACTGGCAGGGTTCAATTCGTATCGCAGCTCATTCTACCCAGAGGGCGCTTTTTCCGAGAATTGTGGCATCGTAGCATGTACCTCGGCAGAATAACACGACTACATTTTTTTAATAATAATAAAATTTATTGTTGTAATTTAGTTTTTAATTTGACTGAAGATCGTGTCAACTCAGATTTCCCGTGGGAAGACGTGACGCTTCTGCCCAAGTTGCAGGAAATCGCGACGAGGATGCCGCCGCACAACGGCACGCCGCAGCTGTACTCTGTTGTACCTGAGCCTGATGATTAAATGAATTAAACTTAAATCTGTGAATGAATGTAATTAAATTTAAACTTAAAATTGCACTGAGGTGGCGTGCTGCATCCGGGAGCTTCTGGATCAGTTTCTCTATGCGCCTGACGAAAAGCAGGTCCGCATCCTCTTGTTCCCATACATCGCAAACGGGGCTGCGCGAGGATGTGGGTTGAGGGGCTTTGAACCCTGGCTAAGCTAGATGAAGGTAACAGATTGTTTGCATCGTTGGACTTTAATCTAAATGTAATAGACTTGAGCCAAGGACAAGGATCCCCAGTGGGCAGGATGGACACTGCCGATCATGTCGGATGGCTTGCTCTTGTCGGTGTCAGCGTACGCCCAGGATGTCTTGGCCTTTGCCTCCACGTTCTTGAACAAATGCGGGTTCTTGTCAGCAGTGCCAAGATCTGCTCCGATAGGCATTGCGGCACAGACATTCGCATCCGTGGAGGAGAGGAACGAGGCGATGCTCCGAAACAGTTTCCTCCGCGAGCGCTTCACCCAGGACTATGAGCAAAAGCTGTACAAGTGCGGCATTCGGCTAGCTGTCTTCAACACAGCCCTGCGGCAACTTGGCTCAGCATTTAATTTTGTGCCGTTCCGTGATATGTATTTGATAATCCAAGGCGGTCGGACATGATGGCAAACAGTGGCCGGATGGATCCCGGGTTCCGGCAGTTCATTTCGCCACTCCCTTCCGACGGCCTTGAGATGGCGGCGCTGTACGAGTCCAGCAAGTCTTTGTGGGCGACCGATCAGGGCTACTTCTACTGCATCAGCCTGATCCCTGCGACGGTTTGCGCTTCGAGGAAGTTCGTGACGGAGACGATGATGCCCTTCTGCGAGGTGATCAAGGGCGATCTGGACGAGACCATGGAGGACTTCCGCTTCTCGAAGAAGAAGGACGTGACGTTCGCCTACCTGGGCGACGGGGACGACTTCGGGCTCTTCTTGGATGGCTACACCTTGGCGCCTGGGCGACAACATGTACGTTAAGTAAAAATTTGTTTAACTTGACTGATAACCTTCCATCCCAGGACCGGGTGATCATGTGGAGGCGGGTGCCGCTGGTGATGAAGTTTCAGCGGCATCTGGATGCCATTGGCAGGCCGTACACGGTCACCCTTTGCCGGTGCGGTAAATGGGGGCGACAGGTCGACTTTGCTATGAGGTTTTCTGGCACCAGGAACCCTGGCACTGACGAGTGAAGCCTGCTGACTGTTTCACTGCTGACTGGCTTTGTTTTGCACAGCGATCCCCAGGCCCCTAGGCTCCTAGGTTCTAAGGCTGGGATGTCTTGAGGAGCCATGAATTCAATAATTTAAATTTATTTTTTTTAATAAATGTAAATGTAGCTTTTTTTCACTCAAGTTCAAGGTTCCAAGGCTCCCAGGCTCCCAAGGCTCCTAGGCTTAGGATCTTGCGGGGACAAGCAGCTTGTGCCAATTCAATGATTTCAAGCCAGCCAGCCACGACGGAATCCTGGCATTGTCCAGCTGGCCAGAATCCTGGCATGTGCAGAGCAACGTCAAGTCTAGTCGATGTTGCCTGCACCATCCAGCCGTGCGGCCGACAGCGAGCGCACATGCAAAAACAATGCTTTCTTCAATCAGCTTGTCAAGTAAAACCCCCCAGCCCGATAAACCCCAGAACCCCCCCCCGCGGCAGGCGATCTTCATCCCGGCCCGGCTTGCCTGCTCAGGCCAGCGGGAATTCAGGCTTTGAAGGGTATCCATAAACCCTAAACCCTAAACCCTAAACCCGTGGAGCCTTGCCTGCCTGTGCGAGTGTGAGCGTCGAAAACCCTAAACCCTAAACCCTAAACCCTAAACCTTACTCGCCGAGGCTCGGCAGCGGAATCCGCGCTGGAGCCGGAGGCGGGTTCGGGTTTGGACTTAGGCTTAGGGTTTAGGGTTTGTAAGGATTTAGTTAGGGTTTGTAAGGACTTAGGGTTTAGGGTTTAAGCTAGGATTTAGGGTTCAGGGTTTGCAAGGAGTTAGGGTTAAGGGTTTGTAAGGACTTAGGCTTAGGGTTTAGGGTTTGTAAGGAATTTAGGGTTTAGGGACTCGCGGAAGGTTCCATTAAGTTAATTCCAAAACCCTTAAAGCCCAAACCCTAGACCCTAAGTCCTTACAAACCCTAAACCCTAAGGCCTTACAAACCCTAAACCCTAAGCCTAAGTCCTTACAAACCCTTAACCCTAAGTCCTTGCAAACCCTGAACCCTAAATCCTTAAACCCTAAACCCTAAGTCCTTACAAACCCTTAACCCTAAGTCCTTGCAAGCCCTGAACCCTAAATCCTTACTTAAACCCTAAACCCTAAGTCCTTACAAACCCTAAACCCTAAATCCTTACAAACCCTAAACCCTAAGCCTACGTCCTTACAAACCCTTAACCCTAAGTCCTTGCAAACCCTGAACCCTAAATCCTTACTTAAACCCGTAACCCTAAGTCCTTACAAACCCTAAACCCTAAATCCTTACAAACCCTAAACCCTAAACCCTAAGTCCTTACAAACCCTAAACCCTAAATCCGATAAACCCTAAACCCTAAGTCCTTACAAACCCTAAACCCTAAATCCTTGCAAACCCTGAACCCTAAATCCTTACAAACCCTAAACCCTTACAAACCCTAAACCCTAAATCCTTACAAACCCTTAACCCTGTTGCTTCGGAGTTACCCTGCAATGCGGGCTTCGTCCTTGCTAGGTAGCCTTAAACCCTTAGCCCCGAAACCCTAAACCCCAATCCCCTAAACCCTAAACCCCTCTGCCATCGCATCAAAAAAACCCTAAACCCCTGTAAACCCTAAACCCTAAACCCCTAAACCCCTAAACCCTAAACCCCTAAACCCCTAAAACCCTACCCTAGACCCCTAGACCCCTAAACCCCTAAACCCCTAAACCCCTAAAACCCTAAACCCCTAAATCCCTAAACCCTTAAATCCCTAAATCCTAAACCGGAGTTCACACAAAGGCATGTCCCGTATCGGGCATCGCCGCGGGGCTCAGCCCTATGAACACGCTGCTCGAATTGGGACGAGCTAAGCGTGGTATGGCAACAACTCCACGGGGCAATCCTGGAGGCCATACGGCGAGTACAATTGCCTGCCGGTCGCGGCAAACTGGGGCTGCACATGGCAGCACGGCAACGCCACAGCCATGCGGTACTGGAAGTTTCAGACCACAAACGCATGGAGACTGCGCAGCGGCTGTGAGCCGGCGCACCGGTCCACGGACCCTCAGAGAAGCGCGTACATGCGCGTATAGCGTGACAGAAACACATTGTCACGCACGCGTCACGCGTCCGCGAGGGCCCCTAGGCTCCAAGGCTCCAAGGCTCCGAAGGATTTTGTTTGGCAAACCCCTCACAAAAATGATTAAAGAGGTAGTGGCGGGGTTTAGCAACGTTTTTGTTGAAAGTAGGCCATAAATCGTCTAAACCCTAAACCCTGGACCCTATTAAATTCCAGACCCTAAACCCTTAAGATTATCACCATCTTACGGTACTCGGCTGCAGTCGATTCATTAAAATCCCTTTGAACGCCTATGACCCCGCCGTAAGCCTAACACCCTGCCCATAGCCCGCTCCCTAAAGCCTGGTACCCCTAAAATGCCCACTCCAGTAAAGGCTTCAACCCCTAACAGCCCCCATGAGGGTTTAGGGTTTAGGGTTAAAGTTTAATTTCAATTATTATTTTAAATTAAGTAACATTTAATTAAATAATAAGTTAAAATGAAAGTAAACCCTAAACCCCGTTCTTGATCGTCGATAATTGCTGAAACCCAGGTTACACTCGAAACCCTGGACACCAAACTACCTAAATCCTAAAGCCCCCTGTACCCCCTGTATTCCTTAAGCAAAGCACACACCAAAACTTGACAGGACCCTTCAATGCACCCGGATGACCCTTGGATGCAACGATCAGGCCAGGCACTGCATCTAAGGGTGTTTTGTGTGCATCCAAGGGTCATTGAGGGGTACTGGTCTGGTGGGATCATCGCCTTTGCTTCTGTCCCAGTGCCAGTCACTCGTCGCGAAGTTTGAAGTTGTCAGCAAGTGCTCAACTTAAACGTTGCATTCAAGGCTCCAGGCACCAAGGCACCCAGGCTCTCAGGCTCCAAGGCCTAGTAGAGTGTGCATTTTGACCCTACCCACACAGTGTACGCTGCCGTTACGTCACTGTGGGCACCGTTGGCCGGGTGTCGGGCCGCAGGAACTCAGCCTTGAGGCCAACCTGCCAAGGCAGTGGCAGATGACAGCTGGGCCAATGGGCTAATGCGCCAGCTGGGGCAAAATCTGGGCCAGGGATCCTGTTGTCCCGCCAGATTGTTCCTGCAATGAGGGGGAGGCTTTACTGCTGGGATCATCGGCTTTGCTTCTGTCCCAGTGCCAGTCACTCGTCGCGAAGTCTGAAGTTGTGCAAGTGCAGAATTCAAACTTTGCATTCAAGGCTCCAGGCCCCCAGGCCCCCAGGCGCCCAGGCTCTCAGGCTCTCAGGCTCCAAGCCCCTGAGGCTGCATGTCTACCAGCCCTCCGTGCGTCTCCAGGCACTTTGAGGCAGTGGCTGGATGGCTGGGGTTCGGGCTTTCAGAGTGCCACCGATGCCAGCACGTTTTGGTCTCGGGGCGACCAAGCTTCCACAAAGATTGATACAAGTCTTCAAACTCGTCATTGTTGTTCGTCGATGATAGTTGAAACCCAGGTTACACTCGAAACCCTCGTTACCAAACCACCTAAATCCTTAAAGCCCCCCTGTACACCCTGTAAATTCCTTAAGCAAAGCACACACCAAAACTTGACAGGACCCTTCAATGCACCCGGATGACCCTTGGATGCAACGATCAGGCCAGGCACTGCATCTAAGGGTGTTTTGTGTGCATCCAAGGGTCAATTGCTGAAACCCAGGTTACACTCGAAACCCTCGACACCAAGCCACCTTTATCCTAAACCCCACCCTGTACCACCTGTATTCCTTCAGCAAAGCACACACCAAATCTTGAAAGGACCCTTCAATGCACCCGGATGACCCTTGGATGCAACGATCAGGCCAGGCACTGCATCTAAGGGTGTTTTGTGTGCATCCAAGGGTCATTGAGGGGTACTGGTCTGGTGGGATCATCGCCGTTGCTTCTGTCCCAGTGCCAGTCACTCGTCGCGAAGGTTGAAGTTGTCAGCAAGTGCAGCAATTTAAACGTTACCGTTGCATTCAAGGCTCCAGGCACCCAGGCACCCAGGCTCTCAGGCTCCAAGGCCCAGTAGAGTCGCTGCCGCCATGATTCCAGGCACTTTGAGGCAGTGGCTGGACGGCTGGGGGGCCGGCTTTCAGAGTGCCACCGAGGCCAGCATCGGTGCCACTCATGCCCGTTTTGGTCTCGGGGCGGCCGAACTTCCACAAAGATTGTTGGTGGGAACTGATTGCAGTGGCATTGATGCACCGATCCATGGCCTTAGGGAGCTCGGCATCACGCACCAGCATTTGTTTGGGAGTGAGGTGGCTGCTGGTCCTCGGTCGGTGATCGAGGCTAATACCAAGCCCTCGGTACTGTTCCACAGTGTCCTGGATGCTGACAAGGCACCGTTCGTTCACCTGTACATTGCCGGCTTCAGCTGCAAGCCGTTCAGCCTGCTCCACAATAAGTCAAGGCTCCTCAAGGAAAAACAGGCTCAAATATTCTATGGGGTCGTTGCACGCATCCAACTTGTGCGGCCCTCGTGCTTCGTGCTGGAGAATGTGTCAGGCATCAAGCGTGTTTCTGCAAAGGTTCTGGCGGCACTCAGGTCCACAGGCTATCATGTCGAAATGATTTTGATGAACCCTGCCGAGCTACAGGAGCCCATCCAGAGGCCTAGGTACTACTTCATCGGGGTCCGGCAAGATGTGCGCCTCATCTCGCCAAAGGACATGTCGTGCTGGCTTCGTGAGGCTTGGGCGGAAGTCCTGGATGCAGTTGCTTCCGGAGACGCAGTCGATCTTTTGGATAGACTGCTACCGGCGAGCCACCCTGCTGTGGGACAGTACCAGGAAAGCCGCAAACGGAAGTGGTCGCAAGCTTCCAACCGTGGGTTCCCAGGCTCCCAGGCTCCAGGCTCCCATGCTCCAAAGTGGAAAGAATTGCACAAGATGTGCAAAGCTTCAATGCAGCAGGGCAGCCGGTTGAAGAGTGAGAGTCGGAGGCCTTGCACTGAGAGCGGAGGCGCCTGCTGC